CGTTTAATTCTATCCATTTACCTTAAAAAGGGTGGTTTCGATCGAAGGCCCTAATTGGGCTTTGGGTAGCCAATGGCTGCCGGTTTTGCAGGTGGGCGAGTACGTCCACTTTAAAGTTGCTAGACTCCTTGAGAAGGTTCTATGTCATTGTTAGGTTTGACTTATGTAAAGACGATGGGACTGCTCTCGTACCACACGTCTAGTTGAGATGTGTTTGACCTCCAGAGAGCCACTCGGCAACTCAACTCTGTCAAGTTGGGACGCAGTTTACTCTAGGTTTAGCTGCCATGGTGTTTCCTATACTGTATCAATATCTCAGTAAGGAGACAAGCACCCAGTGTTTTGCAATAACCATAACAGATGGGAATATCAGCTTACCATCGTCCTCATATTTTTTACCTGCGATGGCTGTGCAAGACACCCTGGTTTTCCCTATCAGTGGTTTTGGCCAGTTCATTTGTTCTTGCGCGGGGGAGTGCAGACCAGCAGGTGTGTGCAGATTTGGCTTTATTATGGCAGTTGTGCGGTTAACACGAGCGGAGCAGCCGCTGGATAGGTAGCAGCCTATTTTGACGACTCTTTGCCAATAGAGCACTATGACTGGTTTGTGAGTGGCCAATGGCTATCCTCTTTGTGGGTGGGTGAGCAGGTGGGTCCGATTTAATCCCTAGACTCCTTGATCCAGCCCTAGCCCCCAACTCTCTATGCATGTTGATGTTTAGGTCGCTTTGAACATGCTACTCCTCGTTTTAGGTAGCCTCAAGTGACCATACCTCCTACCTTGCATGGACATAGGGTGGTCACTAGGCGGGTGGCGCAATCAGTTTTGTCGTCTGGGCGCGAAAATCGCTGGCGCCTATGGGTAAGATGAGTATATCGGCCTGCTTGCTAACATAAGAAAGTCGTCATCGAAGTGATCGTAGTATGTTTTGTCCTAGCTCTGTAAGCATGCTTGTAAGATTTGACCGAATGCCGTTTTCTAACAATTTGTTTATAGCTTATATGCGGTTTAGGAACAGGGGGAATACACAAGAGTTAGCAGAGAATATTTTAGGATATTCAGCGTAAAGTCTTTACAATCAAGACTCGTTCTCCCAATAAAGTTCGAAAATTCCTCATTTTCGACTAGTTTGTCAGTTTTGGGTACGCATATTTGGCTGGATGAGCCATAGATAAATTCAGCGTATCGGTCGAAGTTTCGGACAGATCGAAACTGTGTCCCCCTCCACTCGCCTGTAATCGTAATTCAGCACATCTTCCCGAGCGAAAGTACTTGTACTTGTTACGGCTGTGATCATGCCTGATCTAGCCGGCCTCATTGATGTCACGAACAGTACCCCTCCAAGCATGACGATTGGCGGCAGCGGATCTGGAAAGCCCCACCCAGCCTCTTCACCAACGACGGAGACCAAATATAGAGGGACCAAGAACTGCTTCCATGCCTTGACGGACGGTGTCGAACCAAGTCCTCAGTTGCCCTCCTCTTCGACGTCTCCAGGTGGGTTGCGGTGCCGGATCGAGGGCAGCATAGCAAAGCTCGTGGGGCGGACGACGGAGTATGTGCCTTTCTTGAATGGCCTGAGATATCCTCGTGATACGATCACAACGAGTGCGGACTGTCTCATTTGAGATGAAGTCGGTATAATTAACCCTATCGGATGGTCCTCAGGCAGTGGTGGGCAAAAGCCTCAACTCTTCACTCATCTTCAACGCACAAAGCCCAGTATTCACATCCATAGAGGAGGATTGACCGGATGAATGCACGGTATACACGAATCTTCGTAGCGATAAAGATGTCGCGTCGGATCCATAGGCGCTTTCGAATGATTGAGAAAACCCAGCGAACAGCATCGATGCGGGAGGCAATGTCGTCCTTTCGCTACCGATTCGGTAGCAGCCTCACCCCGAGGTATCTAAAGCTGTCTACTTCTTCAAGTTGATGGCCAGTAATCCCTAGGGGTGTCTTCTCCTGGTCAGGGATGCAGCTCGAGAATACTTGGTCTTTCTAGAATTTATGGACATGCCAACCTACATGGCGATCTCCTTTAACCGCGATATTACAGACTGTAGACCACCAAAGCTTGGGGCTAGCAGCGGAATATCATCGACGTAGTCGAGATCAGTCAGCTGGCATCCCGGTGCAAGTTCAACACCGTCTTTTTCATACAGTAGTTAAACAGAATGGACGATAGAACACAGCCGTATCGGACACCAGACCGGGTATCGAACGGTTGAGAGAGATTCTTTTGAACCAGAACTCGGGCGGTTGTGGAACGGTGGTAGGCCTTAATCATGACAACGAGTTCGGCCGGTACTCCATCTAGGTTCATTATTCACCAGAGGGACTCACGGTGAATGGAATCGAACGCGGCGGCGAAGGGGACAAAGCAGACGGCGGTCGGTTGCTAGTAGCCACGGTGGAATTCCAGAATGCACCTCAGCGTAAATATCTGATGCGTACATCCACGCCCAGCGCAGAATCCGGCTTGGTTAGGTCGCGTCCTGTAGTCGCGCACAGAAAAATAGCGAAGATCTTTGCAGCAACATCGATAAGACTTATGCCGCGGTAGTTCCCGCGTCTTTTCTTATCTCCATTTTAGTAGGCAGTTACAAAGATGCCGGCGCCCCAGTCATCGGAAACGGCCTCGACTGGCCACGCTTGTCCAATTACCTCATGAAGCCGAGGAGCCAGACTGTCGATACGAGATTTGTAGATCTCTGCGTAAATGCCATCCTCTCCGGGCGCCTTATTACTGCGTAGCTTCTGCATTGAATCGGCAACTTTGTCTTCGGCATGGAGGTCACACGACACTGCATGGGCTGGAGGGAATTGAAACTCCGCTGTGGAGGAGAGGGAGGGTGTGATGGGTTGTTCATCAAAGTTGAGTAGGTGCACGAAATGTTCACGCCAGCGATCGACCTTGGCCAGTCATTTAGAATCATTGAACATTAGTAAACAGCGAACCACCAGTCAACAGAATGATAATGTCCCATACCGCCGGGCTCACGCAAGTGTTGTCCAATAGCATTTCCGAGGGGTATTACAAACTGAATAGACGTTAGATAAGATGCCCAGGAAAGAGGGAATTCTGAAAAAAACACCCGCTTTCTAGGCAAGCGGCAAAGGATTTTTATTCATTCACATAGAAGACTTAATCTGAATTTAACAAGAGGGGAAAGTGCGATACTCTCAGCGGACTTAAGCCAGTGCAATCCAAATTCAATTCTGTTCGTATGCTGCTGCTTCTTGGGTGGAGAATATCTCCCAGCTGCGAGCTGTGCGAAGCGCATGGCGCCCGAATTGTTTCGTTCATTCGATAAGAATTCGGGCGCGATGCGCTTCGCACAGCTCGCAGCCGGGAGGTATTCTCCGCCCGAGAAGCAAGTTCACTTCTGTTTCGATCTTCCGTTAGAGTGTATGTTCGTGGATGACGCTTGCTGATATGTACGTAGGACTACTATGCGTTAGCTACGAATGTACTGAGCGCAAGTGACTGCCTGCTTACCGAAATCTGTCATGCGGAGCGAAACTTGCCGCATGCTAATTCATCGTCGAGCAGAGAATACCACGAATGGGCATAGTGCGGCAATGAGTTGTTAAATGAACTATGCACGACTTATGCCAATGGGATCTGTCACCGTTCTTGTCATTACAGGGTTAGCTTGACTAAGTAAGAGTGTTTGATTTGAGCAAACATGACCACATCTCTGGCCCAAATAACATGACGATAATTAGAATCTAGCAGGATGAGGTGCCTGAAGAGGACATATACATTGTGACGGTTTTTATTTAAACAGGTTAATTACGCTCAAAAATTGGGAAAGTTTGCAGGTGGTCGCGTGGAAGTTTTATACCAACCTCGTATTCTAAGCCATGCTTTGCTCGCACTCGTCTGGGGCATGTCCCGCATGTCTGGCTCTCGTGTCCACCTCCGATCAAGGTCAGGGACGCGTCTGGCCTAACTGGCCAACCACTTCCCGAGGCCAGTTCACAAAGGACCTTAGGGTGATGACTGCTTACGTTCAGACACTCCCGAAACCAACGACCTCATGAGTAGTTGCAAACATCCTTACCGGGCGAGTACACCCGCCGAAATGCGACTCTAGATTCAGCCCTCTCATGGCTGGAGTGCACTCGTCTGGGAGTCACTTTCCCATTACTCATATTCTACTTCTGTATTTAAGTGAATTATCCATAACACTCTGGCCTTCCGCGTCTTATCTTATTTACTAATTAATAACCGTTGGGATACGTTCTATCTTCTATTATCCGGCAGGACTACTTCGTATCCCGCACCTTCATGAACTCAAGCTCACTCAATATCCCGGTTGTCTGCCTACTGACTTGGCAAAATCTAGCAGCAATTTCGTGTGCATGCACATAAGAAGAATTTGTGTTGACAAGGAGAAATTATTTGGGCAAAGTTTTCAACCTAATGCGCCTCGCGTGTGAAAGCGTATTGTCTAAGGCGGAATTGAAATTGTACATGTGCACGTCTGTCGGTGTCGAGAAGTGGCAGGAGAGTTTGACAGGTTTTAATGGAGGGCAAGGACAAGAGCAAACCAGGGAGCGAAGCATCACACACAAACACACACACACACAAAGCATTATATTCCGTTTGCCAACAGCCTCCGAAATCGTTCATGAAGGCCTCTGAAAAAGCGACGGCCTCTGGATTCGTGTGCACGAAATTGCGGGTTCGACGTCCCTGCCAGATTCTTCATTGGGCGTCCTGTTTTCAAACTCTGCTGGCCACAGAGACATCCCAGGCCCTTGGCGCCATCCATGTGGCGTCTACTAGGACTGTTTTGGGAACTGTAAATGGACAAACCAGTGGACGTGACTCGCTGTTCATTGTCACTGACCGTTCCCCACGTACTGGTAGGGTTGTTTTCGTGGGTTGGGATCAAACTTGAAATCACATTGGAGGGGGTCCCCACCCCGAAGCTTAGGGAGGTGTCGCTGTCAATCACAGA